GTGAGTTAGGAACGGTGCTCCAGTTTTCTGTTCATAGTCATTTGTTCTGTGTCATATGGGCTCCGTGTGAGCTAAAGAAATACAGCCTCCTTGCTCCCAACTCTGTTAGTGTAGTATGACATCAGCAAAGGCACTTGCAGAAAAACAAAATAAAGCAAAAAGCAGCTAGAAGGAAGGCAAAAGCTCTGACTCATTAATTTGATATTTTAGGCTCTTCTAAGCCCTTAGTATTTATCTTATTTTATATATTATATCTGTGGTCATACATACTGCTATCCTACTTGCGGCAATAAGATATTTAATAAATATATTAAATATATGAATATATTTAGATAGGAACTAGAAAGAGTTCATTTACCTTTTTCTTCAAAATTTTCTCATTAACCTTAGAAAATCATGTGCCCAGGTACTGCCAATGGTATTTTGATTTAGTTCCCAACAGGGTTATTAAAATAAGATTTGGGGAACTATTTGGGCTGTTCTTCAGTTTTGTTCGGTGCTCCGGGACACCACCTTTAATTTGCATTGCTATGAAGAGCTGTAAAAAAGGTAGTGAGACTGTAGTTCAGAAGAAAGGAATAGAGCTAAGTAATTGAGAAAATGCCTTCTCTTGAAATGATATCTCATAATAAAGACATTAACGACATGCTCATTGGAAAAGCAGCTGGTGTTGAAAGATTTCTGGGACTTAAGAGGGTTAACGAAAATGTGTAAGTGAGACTGGGCATAAAAACCAAATATCTCAGTCAGTAGTTACTAGAGAAACAGGTATAACACAAGATATACAAATATATCGGAATTTTCAAGATTGGCTTACAGTGGCCACCCACAGGGTCGGATGAGAGAGGGTACAGAGGGTCTGCCTGCCCACTGGGAGGCCTAAGGACTCAGTCACAGGTCTGGAGCTCACTGCAGTGTCCCATGTGAGGCCACATCAGGAGGCCGGTGGGTCTTCAATGGAAGGCTGAAGAGCCTGAAGTGGAAGCCAGGAGATGATGTCCAAAGTGAAGACAGCAGCTCCTTGGAAGGAGCCAAAGCAGCAATCTCCTTCCTCATTTCCACTTTATTTTAATTCTCCATGCAGAGCTGCTTTAGGGTGGATTTCCCACACCCTGGGCCCTGGAATTGCTCAGCCAATTTAGCTAAGCTTGGGGTAGGGGAGAGGGAGAGGGTGGGGAGAGGGAGGAAGGGAGGGAGAGAGAGGGAGGGAGAGAGAGAGAGAGAGAAGACAGACTTAGAAGGCTGGCCTAGGAGATGTATCTGTGTGTGATAGCGATATCTGAAACAGAAGATGCAGCAAATGAAAGTGAAACAATATTGAAGCAAGCTTCCAGTGTTGAAGAATGAATTAGCTGACAAATAGAAAAGACTCACAGAGAACCTTTAAAATTTAGTGAAAAAAAGCCTCGACATATCCTGGCGACTTTTTAAAATTTCAAAGATAAAGAAAGTATCCAGACAAAGCAAACAGGTTACCTATAAAGGCGCAAAAGTAAGGCTGACTTCAGTTTTTCTTTTGCAATTGTAAATGCCAGGAGACAATGGAACAATATTTACAGAGTTTTAAAGGAAAATAATTTTGAACAAAAAATTATACCCTGCCAAGTTACTATTTTTGTATGAAGGCAACTGGAAGACATTCTCAAATATTCACGAGTTAAAAAGTATATCAACCAAGAACCTTCTCTGAAAAATTTGCTGATTGATTAACTTCAGCCAACAGAGAACATGAATTAAAAATAACTGAGGAGAAGAGAGACAACTGCATGAAAGAATTGTTGGTAAGCATTAAAACTATTAAGAAGCATGCTCTCTGTAGTCACTTTCTCACTGCTGGGACCTAATACCTACAACGTAAGGGGAGGAGTTCATTTTGTCCATAGCTGACTGGCTTCAAGGTAGAAAGGCACAGGGGAGGGTCTGGTAGGGGAAAGCCGCTCACATCAGCTCTGTTCAGGAAGCAGAGAGGGAGGGGAAGAAGGAAGGAGGGAGAGGGCCCTTCCCGGTCACAGCCCCTGACACTCTTCCGACCTAACAGCAGGTCAACTCTCTTGTCCCAGTGATTCAATCACCTAGCAAAAGCTCTGCCTCCGAGCGCATGAGGCTACTGGGAGACATTCTTGATATAAATTGCGATGCATTCGGTCTAAAATTGTTACACACAGAGCAATAAAATTAAATGCAAAAAAGAGATTTGTAAGGTAGCTCTAAAATTTTCAATTTATGTAGTTTTAAACTGTCAAAGAGCATGTATTCAATGGAGTGGGCAAATGAATGCTGTTTTATTTTTGCCATATAGTATTATATATAAAGATGCCTGTTGTTAAGCAAATGTATGCACAAGTGCCTTTTCACTGTGCATAAGACAGGAACAATAAAAACATTCTAAATGTTCATCTGATAAAATTGAAAAATATTATATTTTTATTTGCCTTATGTTCAGTTACAGAGGGAAAACCAACAAGTTTGTCTAGAATGTTAATACTGACAATGTAAGAAGAAAAAGTCCAAGGCACTGGTTGGAGAGGAGTACATAAAACATTGTTTGATGTACTGAACTGGGAAAAAGGGTGGCTTCTGCATCAGATGGTAAAGTCCATTTGTCATTGAGTTGTGACAAAAAATAGAATATATACATCCAAGTTTTTGAACTAGGAAGGAAGTGAAAAACCAAGAAAAAGTAGCAAAAGAAAAATAGCAAGGAAGTATCAGAATTAGCATAAAAGAGATTGATAGATATCATACTCACAAAATGGTTAAAATTTCAATTTTAATAGGATTTAAATTGGGTAAAAAAATCAATCTCTAATCCAAGATGCCTACATTCATTGGTACAAAGCAGTAGTCAAAGGCCAGGGATGCACAGCTCAGCGCTAGTGCTTGTCTAGCACTGCAGAGCCCTGACTTCAATCCTCAGCCCTGCCAGACAAAGACAAAGGTTAAAGGGATTTAGAGATAATCGAAACTCTTTTATTAGGCAATAAAGATGTTATAAGGCATCTCATATCTGAAGGACTTTATGTGGCAAATAAAACAGCATTCATATATAAGATCAAAGTTCAGTTTTACTTCTGGAAACTAACATAGTTGCATATGTTTAAAACACATTTAAAACTTGTACATTTTGTGTACTTAAAGTACATTGAGTGATTTTTTTTAAATTAAAAAGTACATGTAGAAAAAACAAAAATAAGATTTCATATCTTCAAAGCTTCCTCCCTTTCAAAGGATAACCAAGAGCTCCAGTTGGAAGGGCAACAAACCTCCCTCTTGGCTGGTCACAAGGCGATGAAAACCTCAGTAATTATCTCAACTCCAAAACCTAAGAGCACCTTCCTGCCCCAGAAGATCTGGGACTGTGGCCCAGGCTGTCTCCCCCAATGCCTCAGAAAAGAGAGAAAATGCTTCAGGAAGCACTTTTATGTTTGTGATATATATGGATCTGCTAAACATTCTCTTGTTATCATCACGGATTTGTTTTAACTTATTTGGAATGTGCCGTAAAGCAACATGCAGCCCAACTGGGAAATTCTTCAGGCAGTTGTTAACTTCTTAATGAGAATCCAACTTGCTGGTTGCTTGTTGGGGTAGGTAGAACTGAGCAAGAATGGACAAGAATCAGAGGGTAGAACCAAGTGGCCAACAATCAGTCTCTCTTTTAGCCACTTGAAACATTTAGGAAATGTTACAATCATTTTCTAGGACTTTTGGCAGTCTGTATCACTGGGGAGGTGATTGAATTAGCAGCCATTGTAACTGCAGTAATATATATACTTGTAGTTCTCCCTATGATCTGTGAGCCCTGTGAGGGCAGAAATCCTGTATTTTTCATTTGTTTAGTACGTATGTAATACATGTGACCCCACTCAGTGGAACTAGTGGACTATTTGACATATCATACTGTAATGAGCACTTCAAAATGGAACTTTAAAAGTTAGGGTTTACCGCTGGGGATTCAGCTCAGTGGTTCTACTGCGTGATTTGCAAGCGCAAGGTCCCAAGTTTGATTAGATCCTTGGTTAAAGAGAGAGAGAGAGAGAGAGAGAGAGGCAAAGTTAGGGTTTAAAAATTTTTTTCTAGATATATATAATCAATCTATCCCAAATTCCTCCTGCTGAGCTCGTAATGAACACCCCCTCCTTGCCTTAGCCCAAAAGTAGTGACAAAATAGGCAGATACAAGCCCAGCGGAGGCCAGAGTCCAGTTTACTTTCTATGAGAAAGAGATGAGCTGACATGATACAGCAAGTGTGGCGGTCTGTACTGTCTCTCTGTGCCTCACCCACCTATACACGGGAGGTGGTGACTCGAGGCAAACAGGCCCTCCATCTCCTCAGAGCTGGCTTTGAATAAATCCCTTTACCTTTATCAAAATAAATGGCCTCTTTCGATTTGGCCAGAGCCGAGCAAACAAACCTAAGCACATGAACCTAAGTAACCAGAAACTCTACTGCTGTGAACTACAGCAGTGGTGGCGAACTTGTGGCCTGTGTGCTGCAGCAGGGCTCACAGAACCCTTTCTGTCAGCAGGAGAGCCATGACGCTTCAGCTGCCAACCATCGGAAAGGTATGGTTATTTTCTCTAAACTAAAACATCAGCATTGAGGTTTAATTGCAGTGTCAGCACTTTGTGATAAATAAGTGGGTTTTGGGTTGCAGTTTGGGCTCTAGGTCTCTAAAAAGCTCACCATCATGGGACTGCACAAAATACTGTGTCCCACTTTTCCAGCAAGTCCAGTGGGAAGCCTCCATAGAATGAAACAAGAAGCATATTCTCTCATGAATATATCTGTATTTACAAAGTGGTCATCACTAGGCTGGGTCTGAAGATCCCGGAAGCTGAAATAAAGAACCTGTCCCCACCCTTTTGTAGCAGGTTTGCTGACTCCTGTCACAGAAAAGGATTTTCAGGATGCACCAGAAAGAGGCAGAAGAAGGGTTTATTAGGCAATCAAGAATGGAATGTGGACCCAGAAGCCATCACTTCATTCATGGGTCAAAATGGCAGGGAGGCCTGCTGTTGCAGCCTCAGGCTGGTGTCTGGATGGTATCGGAAAATGGTATTACAATGCTGCGGGATTCAATAAGCTGGGCTTAGTGCGTGATGATACAATATACAATGACAAAGATATAAAAGAAGCCAGGAGAAGGCTTTCTGAGAAAGTTTATAATGATAGGACGTTTCGCATTAAGAGAGCATTAGACTTGAGCATGAAGCATCAGATCTTGCTGAAAGAACAGAGGAACTGTGAGGAGGATAAATTCTACTTTGAACCATATCTCAAAGAGGTTATTCAGGAAAGAAAAGAAAAAGAAGACTGGTCAAAGAAGTAATCACATAGTTGAAATCTGTGGATGCAGCTGTCTTCAAAATATTTTTATGAATTTGGTTAAGCCTGAAACACAATTTAAGTCTTCAAACATCCTACTTTAAATAAATGTCTGAGTAACTGAAAAAAAAAAGAAGAATGGAGTTCAGGTGCTCAGAGACATAAGACATATTAGTTTGGAAATGGCAGCATATATACCTCTGTTGAGGGGTAGAAAAGCCCACAAAAACATGCCTCCCTTCCTGAAGGGTATTGGCTCATTTTACAGGCATGTGGCGCTTTTTCATTAAAAAAAAAGATAATTTTAACATTCTTTGAGTTTGTTTTACCTGTTCCTTACTTTCTCAACTAAGCCAACTTATGAATTCTTAGTATTCCTAAGGAATTTTGGCTGTAATGGGCCCAGAAGGGAAGGAGTCTAACTTTAACCAAAGGAATATTGATATATTATTTCTAAAATAACCTGTTGAGGCTCATGGCAGACTCTGACATTGCACTGATCTGCAGCATAGGTCTTGGAAGGCATAGGACACATTTGCAGAGTGGTCAGGAATGGATGTGCAACATTCTGCTTTGATAACTCCACAAATTCCACGTTTGCTGCTTTTGGAACATCAAAGGCTATTTGGTTTTGTGAAATGGATTTTTTCTCCATTTTTACTTCTGTATTTAATAATGAAATTCCCTCTGCAGTGTCATTTAGAGCTTTTTGTGTATAGTTAATGAGAGATTCAATGTGCCCCTTTACATCTTCAAGTCTTATTTGGGGAATAGAGGACAAATGATTATACCAGTGAAAAACTGATCTAGTCTATCCATGCTGCAAGATTGGGAGATTAGCTGGTTGATATAGCTTTAACTCAGTGCCCTTGGACTCATGAGTATCCTAGTGCACATCTTCGCATCTATTTTGGAGGCAACCAAGGCCATAGGTGCTGGGTACTGTTTGGGGCTGGCCATTTTATTTTAGCTCTTGTCCTCCAGCCAGTAGCAAACAAGTCAGTATCTCTTAACACAATCATGTGATTCTCTGGGTAGAAATTTATCTCGTATTTTGAATGGTATTGCTCTATTTATTGTAAATATGTAATTTTTTTTGGTTCCCCCCAAAAGGATGCTAGTTGGTTGAGTTGCCCTATAGTAGATGTCAGCCAGATATGTTTATCCTAGACCTGAAAATATTTATCTATGAATTGATGGCTAACTTTCATCATAGGAGTTTCAGAAGTATGGAGTAGATCAGGATCTCTATATTTTGATACCTGAGTATTAATTGTGACTAGAGAAAAAATTTCCACGGCCTTTTATTTATTTACTTACTCTTTCATACATTTTTTTTGTTTTGGTTTGGTTTTTTGAGACAGGGTCTTGCTTTGTAGTCCAGTCTGGCCCTGAACTCATTATGTAGCCCAGACTGGCCTTGAACTCATGGCGATACTCCTGCCTTAGCCTCCTGAGTGCTGGCATTACGGATACCATGGCCGGCACTTTCATACATTTTAAAGTTAGTATCTAACATTTTTGTTGTAAGTTTAAAAATAAAATTATTGTGGCTATTAATACATTAAATTTATGACATCATTTTAAAATGAATTTCAAGGAATATAAATATCAAAATAATTTTCTATTATTTTTGTATCAGGAGTCATTAGAGGAACAGACTTAATATAAAAATATATAAGATATATAAAGAATATTCAAAGTAGACTTACAATGGCTGCCTGCATAGTCATGGTGAAAGAATACAAACTGGCCACCTGCCCACTGGAGAGCCAGAGGAGCCAGTCGAACATCAAAGGCTGGAGCTCACTGCAGAGTCCTCTGTGAGTTTAGGCTTTACGTTGGAAAGCTCAAGAAATTGGAGATGAACATCCAAAGGTGATGGAGAACACCAGAGCACCTTCCAAGAGAAAAAAAAAAAACCCAAAAAACAAAAAACAAACTCCAAGGCCTTTTAGTCTCCTTATTGGCCATTGGGAAATATTAGAGCTGGTAGCAAGTTTTAAAATTGTCATTGCAGAGCCAGGAGTGGTGGTGCACACCTGTAATCCCAACACACAGGAGTCTGAGGCAGGAGGTTTGCTGTGAGTTTGAGACCAGCCAGGGCTACATATTGAGTTCCAGGTCAGTCTCAACTACATAGTGAGACCCTGTCTCAAGAAGCCAACCAACCAAACAAACGAACAATAAAAAAATAAATTTGTCATTGCACTTTGCAGCTGTTCTATACTATTTTAAAGCTTTATTCAATAATCTCCTTGTAGAAGATCTACCTACCATGGTAGTCTACATGCACAGGAAGTGGGCAATTGTCCACAAACCCAGTATGAATCTTTGTTAATGTTTTTGGCATATTGCTGGGCCCAGTCAAGGAAAACATTGAAGAATGGTTTAAGGGTCAAGAAAATATTAATTGTCTGATTTCAGTTTTGGACTGGTAATGAAAACTTGTGATAGCTATAAGTTATTGGTGTAGCTAGAAACTATCAGAAGGGATTAGTATAGTATTTGGAGCCTCCTTTTTATTTCGTCATGTTTTAACTTATTATTATTATTATTATTATTATTATTATTATTATTATTATTTTCTTTCTCCATTAGGGCATGTTTCCACCCCCCTGCCCAAAAAAAGGGCAGCCATGGCATCAGGTGAATTGAGCTTATGTCCTTTGGTCTTGCGGTGGTGGGGGAGATCAAAAGAGCAGTTGAAAGGACCTCTGTCAGGGTAAAGTGTTTAGGACCCACATGTGTATGCTTTTGGAGATTGCTTTCTCTGATGTGACTTGGAGACCACTTCTCTCCACTGTGTTTCAGGATTGGGGTTTCCCATGATGGCTGCATGAGAAACATTGCTCAAGACACTGGATAGGGCAGCATTCTTATATTGTGTTTCTGGACAAGTGGGCTCTCAAAGTGACAGTGTCGAAGATGACTGAGTGGTGAGCAGCAGAGAAAGAGCCTCTCTGAGATTTGGTGTCCTGACACTGGAATATAGTAGCATGAGAAGAAGGAGGGAAGTGTGTCCCCAGGACCCAGGAAGGGTCTGATGCAAGAATGGAAGCCCACAGGGAGAGCAGAGACTTCAACAAAGGGGAGGTAGGTGGCAGGTGGTGCTTTCTTCCTGAGCCTGGGCTCACATGGGAGAAGGCTGCTCAAGCCTGCAGGCACATGGTAACTACTGGTGATCACAGATGCCTCCATGGAGAAACACACCAGTGGAACAGAACAGTGGATCCACAGACTGCAGTGGCTAGTGAGTTATTTGATTTCAGATGTTCGCCAGGATAGGGTGATTGGCTAGTAGCTGTTTTAGAAGGGATGAACTGATCTCAGAATTTAGAACAGCTGAGGACCAGCTCCATCTAGTGACTCCCAGTGTCATGGTGAAGCCACTGAGTTTAAATTGGCAGGAGCCAAATTCAATCCTGAAGGGAGCCAAGTGTAAGCCAGAAGGAGGCACATGGATTGTTGCAGGCTCAACAAAACTGGTTCCAGCCTCACAGCCAGAAACCAGCCTGAACTTCAGTGGAACTAACGGCACAGCCTTTCTGGGATTATCCATTAATCCACTGTAAAACTACAGCTGGCTTTTTGGGATTAATCAATTCAGATCTAGACTCTGTCTACATTATCTACCAGTGACAGCAGAGACACACCATGAATTGGGCATTTTTTTTTTTCTTATTTTCTTCTTTTCCTCTTTTCTGGACAAGCAAGATATTTTTGGTCCCTCCTAACCCAGGGATAGAGTGTGAGTGATAGATAATTTAAAATTACCTAGTGAAGCTGCTAACCCTCCTTAAGGGTGTCTCCTGACAACTCGTTCCATTTATGGTTAAAGAGAGCAAGTGTTTCCTGTGTTTGGTGTTTTTATGTATAAGCATTCATTTTCTAGGGGCTTAGGAATCTCTAGCTGCTTGAAGGGAAGAAAACTCTTAAGATAGAAGAAGTTTGTAGAAAGGGAGAAAGAAAAAAATAAGCTATGCCTCAGAAGCAAGGATTTGGAAGAAAACTGCTTCAGAGGGCCAGGGGTTGGGAGTAGGAGTAAGATGAAAATAAAAAATAAAAATAAAAAGTGTTAAAATATTTTTTAAGGGCCAGGGATTTAGCTCAGTGGTTCTGTTTTGCAAGCACAAGGTCCCAAGTTAGATCCCTGGTACCAACAATAAATAAATAAAAAAATAATTTAATTTTAATTTTTTGAGACAGGGTCTCACCATGTAGTCCAGGCTGGCTTCAAACTCACAGCAATTCTCCTGCCTCAGCTGCATCAGTGCTGGGATTATAGACATGTGCCACCATACTCAGCAAAAATTCTTTGGTTGAACTAGCAAACTTGCCTCCTTGATGCCTCTTTTTGTCTCCTTCTGGCCCATGAAAAGAAAATGTCAACCAGCTAGGTCTGTGGTTTCCCAAGCGTAAAATAAGGAACCTATTCTACCCTTTTGTAGCAGGTTTGCTCATTCTCATCATGGAAAAAGAATTTTCAGGACATAATAGGAAGAGTCTTAGGAAGAGGTTTAGCATGTACTCTAGAATAGAGTGCAGTTGTTCAGAGAAATGATTACAATTTGGAGCTGGCGACATTCATACCTCTCTTGAAGGGGAGGAAAAGCATGGCCCACCCCTAGAAGAGTATCTGCCCCCTTTTTCTATAGGTATGGGCAATGTTACAGCTTGGGTCTAGATGCCCCCCCCAGCCTCATGTAGTCATAGGTGGGACTTTTTCAGGGGCACTGGATCTAGAATGTGTGATTAATTCATGATGCAATGTTAGGATTAAGGGTGCCAGGATTAAGGGTGGGTGATTACTAAATCTACTGATTGGTTTAGCACCACCCTAATCTCAGAGGCTTGTCTTGGCTCTTGCTTGGTTCGATACCTTCTGCCCTCTATGAAATCTTTTTCCTTTGAGATACTTGTCTGCCATGCCACTTTGCCTTGAAGCCAGCCGATTATGAACTGAAACCTCTACGAACTGTGAGCCAAATAAACCTTTCCTCC